ATATAAAATTTAGAGTGATGATCGCCAAAAATAGAAAGAGATAAAGAATGAATGGGAACTGAAGGCAGAGAAGCCAGGCCCCTTCTTCACATCTATATGATTCAGAGCTCATAGTTGAGAGTCGATTATCAAATATGGAGAATTCTCATCAAGTTTCGGACCACCTGGAGCCGTGGCGCCACCTCCACGGTAAGGTCGTCATGGTCACCGGCGCTTCCTCTGGCCTCTGCCGCGACTTTTGCTTAGACTTGGCTAAAGCCGGATGCAGAATCGTAGCCGCCGCTCGCCGCATCGACCGCCTTCAGTCCGTCTGCGATCAAATCTACCATCTCTCCATCACGGCTCCGTCTTTTTCTTCTTCTGCTGCTGCTGATAATATTCCTGGAGGAGGCCCGCGGGCCGTGGCTGTTGAGCTGGATGTCAGCGCCGATGGCCCAGCTATTGAGAAGTCTGTGAACAAGGCTTGGAACGCGTTTGGGCGCATCGATGCCCTTGTTAACAATGCCGGTATTAGAGGTTGGTTTGGTTAGCTTCCCTGCCTTTATATGTTATTTGTTTTCAATTTGCCTTCTCGTTTGGGGTTGAATTATTCTAGAGAAACCAACGATCAAATTTAAGCTGGATATAGACTCTTAGAATTCAATCCATGCTAAATTCATAGAGTTTGAACTCGAGAGGAAAACCCGGAAACTCGAATTTGTAAACAAAACGATACATGGAATGCAATAGGGATCCTGTTGTGCGAGCATTCATTGCTTTATGTATGTTAGTTTCACTTTAGAATTGTATTTTAGTAATCCAAATTGCTTGTTTGATTGTTTTAGTTCATGAACTAAAATGAACCTACCAATGACAATACTGACTACTGAATTGAACACGACCCCCAGTAGAGACTGCTACGATTCAATTCAACACTTTGTTCGTTCGGGTTTGATTGAGTGTCCCAAGTATTACATACAAACATGTGCCCTCTACGCTACCTCCAGAGGGGTTGGGATGGGACTTTATCGGATTCGGACTGGACTACACTCAGTCCCTATCCTCATTATAAGCCAACTACAATTACACACATGTTCACTTATTATGTATAGATTATCAGCTAGTCAGAATAGTTCGTTGTTGGACCTTGCTATTGCAAGACATGATAGATATTTTATACTCTTCGTACGTATAAAATTTCCAAGCCAATGACACTCTTTTGTTAAGGTCAGTTACACGGAAAAGTTATTCCGTAAATATAGATTTTAAGGTCTAAGTTTTTGATTGACGAGTATCATTTTGTGAAAGTTAAATGTGATGTTCTTTTCATTAGTAGTACAAGTCTCAATTTTCTATGAGCGTATATTTCAGTATAGGTGTATCATAGATGCTTACTACCATCTGTGTTTCTTAGGTAATGTGAAGTCTGCATTGTAATTGTCTGAGGAGGAATGGAATAATGTTTTCAGGACAAATTTAACGGGTTCCTGGTTGGTGTCAAAGTTTGTTGTTATACGCATGCGAGATGCTGATCAGGGAGGATCATCGTCAAGATATCTTCCGTTGCTGGTATTAATGGTGGATATTTTCCTGGAGCTACAGCATACAATTGTTCAAAGGCTGGCGTAAACACCTTAACCAAGGTATTATCTCTAACATGCTCATAGGGAAAATCGTATTAACCGCGTAAGTTAAAGGCATTCTATGTTTGTTACTTTTGGCCTATAAATGAAATATAAGATTTTATCCTCAACTTTGTCATAGCACTGGCACTACCTTTGCTTATTCTCTCATTGTTTTCTTTTTCTCTCATAAGTTTCACTATTTGTATTTCGTTTTGAGAATTTTCTTAAGGATTATGTTCTGTTGTTCTCTGTGTTGGAAGTATGCCCACAAAGCCACTCATTTGATGTAATAGCTTTTTGGAATACTTAATGTATTAAACTTTTATATGTTTAATGAAGGGCAAAGCTTATTATTAATCACTATTTATTGTATCTTGTGTTTAAGCAATAAGGGAATCCAATGAATGTATTTGATCTAAGAGATAAGTGATCTAAGTAAGTTAGATTTTCGAGACCTTTCTCTTATGTTCATTCCTAAAACGTTCCTAGCCATAGGGTTGCCAATTGGGCATTGACAATCCGCTAAGGTTAGTATGTGTTATGTCGACTCAAGTATGGATATGACAAGTCTCAAGTCATTTGGTGTTGGACACTAAGGCAAACACATAGGTGCTCGAAAGAGTAATCGAGTACACTGAACAACGATCAAACGAGAGTTCGAACATACATGTCATGTGAGAACTCAATAGTTGCAATATGCAAAGTAGTCCTTTGACCTGAGGCATCATTGATGTCTAATGGTTAGGTCCTTGATCTTTGATTATGTCAACGGCATTCCATTGGAGTGTCCACGGCATTGTTGGGGTCAAGCTATCTAGTCATGTAGGCATATGAATGCACAACAAGAGATCTCTAACCTTCCATGGTGGAAGGAGAATACTCTAAGATATGATTCGAGAGTCTTTGGCCAAAGCATATGAATATGACTAAGGAAGCTTGTTCCAAATCTTATTCAATTGAATCATATAGAGAAGTATCACATTGGATAGTAGACATGAAACAAACTATCACTTAAACAATGTGATTAAGAGTATTGTATTAGAGAAGGACCGTATTGCATTGAAGTTGTAACTGGATAGGTTCTCCAACCACTTCTACTTAGCTTGGGTAACCATGACATGCTGCTAGGCGTCACCCATGGTTTGTGGAAGCCCTAAAGATTAGCAAACACTAATTTTAAGGGAGAATTGAAATGTGATTTCAATTCACAATCGATCGTTAAGAGTAACATCGCCCACTACCTCGCTAATTGGAACCTAATGGATCGTACACCGAGTAAGGATATAAGTGAAGAAATTATATGAAATGGATAAGCAATTAAATGGTTTAATTGAAGAATGGTCAAGATTAATTAAATAGTTAATTAATTATACGAAACGTTCGTATTGGGCGTTTAAGTTAGTTTTGGGCTTCGGGGCGCAAAAACGTTTTGGTCCACAAGGCCCATTATGTTTAAGTTGTATGACAACTAAAACAAAATGGGCAATTAAGCCCAATAACAACATATGGCCGGCCATAAGGGTGAGGGGTAGCAAACTTGTATTAATTACAAGTTTGCCACTCACATGAAATGAAGTATAAAATCAACATTATAGCTTTGTTTCAAATTAGGGTTTTCTAATTGAATTTGGGTGAAACATATTCTCTCATTTTCTACATAGAGGCTGGCCACTTAGGGGAGGAATATCTAGCAATCTTTTCTTCCCTAAGTCATCCATTTCATCTTCACACTACATCTTTGGTGTGGAGACTTAGAGACACCAAACCTTTGGTGTTTTGGAGAACAAATCCTCAAATCCTCAAAGAAGAAAAGGAGCACTAAAAGGGAGGAAATCACAAGGAAGATCCAAGGAGCAAGGAGGTGACTTGAAGGCCCTCCACTTGGGTGAATCCCTTGTGCAATCAAGGATGAGCTTCAAGGGTAAAGAATCTCTAAATTCTTATTCTCTTTAATATTGTTAAAGAGTCTTATGGTTCACCATATACTAGGCTTTGAAAGTCATAGGTTTTATGAATTGTTTTTGAATGCATGCCTACTTTAAAGTGTTATTAGTTTGCATATGTATTCAAATGTTCTTACATGTTCTTAGCTAGGACATAAATTTTCCTTCACTCTGCACATCGTAGTGTGGGTGACGGCTTTGATGGAACTATACTGAATCTTATTATTTTAACCAGACTATGGCTATGTAGTTGGGGGTGCACAAAATCAGAGTGAACGCAATATCACCTGGACTTTTCAGGTCGGAAATTACGGAGGGTCTTATGCAAAAAGAATGGCTACACAATGTGGCTATGAAAACTGTCCCTTTACGAACATTTGGGACTTCGGATCCAGCATTGACATCGCTAGTTAGATATTTGCTACATGACTCTTCTGAATATGTGTCTGGCAACATTTACATTGCTGATGCAGGAACCACCTTGCCAGGTGTTCCTATTTTCTCTTCCCTCTGAAGTTTCATGTAGATTTGTATTCATGACGAACAGAAAAGAGTAGAGAAATAAATAAACGTACGATGAATACGTTTGGAAGCCTTTTGCAAGTTAAAGATTTATGAATAATAGAAGGTATGGCAGAATTCATTTTGTGGACTTACCGTTAGATTTTTATGTGCGTTGAGATCATGTATGACATTGTTGCAAAACAGATTTTCAGTTTTAATTTTCAATTTTTCGTCAGACATGAAGAAGAGTGAAGGATGGTGGACAGATGTGGAAGAAATGTATACTATGAAATGGTACACTGCATCAAAACTAAAATTCAAAATTGAGAATTTGGCTACGGTTATATGCTGTAATGACATCCAATGACCACTACAACTGTCTATTGTATGATTATATTATGTATTTCAATGTACCGTGGTCGGTTCCCTGCACATTCCACCAAATATACACATTTGGAGCAAAATAAGGAAGGATTTCCTTTCGATGCATGTGCTTGCTTAGCTTACAGTCTTTAACGTCACAAACCAAAACAAACTCGCCACAGAAAATTGTCCCTAGATTGTAATAAGTTGGCAAGCTATCCTTGTCCAATACTCATCATAATTTTGGCCTACAAAATGCCAAATCTCCCGCCCCGTTAATGTAATCTGCTGCATCCGTCCATGAATCTTGGACACTGGATTGTAGTCATGGGTTGATAGCTGTTTACGGGACGGGAGTTACGAGAGATAGAGCACCAAAAGGGCAAGAGTGAGTGGGCATGCACAAATTTACTTGGGTAGTGCTATCTACACATTATTTTTACTTCTCACATATTTGATTCAATTTTTTATTATCACATCGAATGAATTAAAGATCAATGAGAAAACACTAATAAAAATACGTGAGAGGTAATAATGAGTGTCTGAATAACCTTATCTATTTGCTTTTGTCCTTTTGGTCAAATAGGAAGGAAGCCGTGTAGTTTTACCGTATTACCCTCATGACCCTCCCTACCCGTTATTTCCTCCTCCCCTAACCTTGTCCTGTGCGCGCGCACACAAATTACACAATACAAGATCAATCTCGTACCGGCGACGGCGACTGTGCCCGTTCCCGGAAAACTGTCGTCATTGAGGTTAGCGGGTATCAATTCAATTTTAATATCAATATATCAATTCGTTGGGAGATTTTAGGAGTAATATTATTATTTTTGTAAATATCATTAACATGGTTTGATCAAAATGTTAGGGTTTGTGGATTGAGATTGAGATTGAGTTTGCGATTGCAATTGAGAGTGGTGGCTGCCTGCCTGCAAGTGCAATGTTTGGTTTGCATAAGTCGCCAAGACAAATGAGGAATGTGAAGGGAACACTAGCAGGATTCGGTGGGGGGAATGTTGAGGCTTCCTATTTGTCAAGTCGTAATTTCAGCACTGTAATGCCTCTGTCTCCGTCTCTTTTCCATATGATTCAACAATTACACCCATCTCTTAATTCGTTCTTTGTTGTAATTAATTTGTATGATCCCAGCAGCAGCAGCATCGGGTTTTAAAAGACATTCCGGAATTTGTAAAGATTGTAGAAGTTGGAGCAAGGGATGGACTGCAGAATGAGAAGCACACTGTTCCTACCGCTGTCAAGGTTCAATTGATTCAAATGCTTGTTTCTTCTGGTTTGCCTGTTGTCGACCCTACAAGTTTTGTCTCCCCAAAATGGGTTCCTCAGGTTAACTTTCGACGTTTTGTCTATGCTTCCATCAGTTCACATTATGTAGCATATTCAATTATACATTGGACAAATGTTGTTCTTCTGTGGTTGTTTTGCGTCTGCCGATTCTGAGCAATCAATCAGTTCTTTGTTTTCTAATGCTTTTCTCTTTGTTTTTCTTTCTTGTTTCATATGGTTTGTGTAGTTCTGTTGCGCCCCCTTGAAATCCTAACAAGTTTTCATTTGTCAAAGGAATCTCTGAAGCATCTTTAAAATTATTCTTCATTGGCTATGGGTTTTCATGGCTGACTTTCTTCCCTGTCTTGCTCATCTTTCAATTTCAGCTGGCAGATGCAAAAGATGTAATGGCCGCTGTTCGGAATATTGGAGGTGCTAGATTTCCCGCCCTAACCCCTAATCTTAAAGTAAGCATTTTCTAGTGAAAAGGATATCATTATAAACTGATAACAAGATACGTTACTAATTCATATCGTGATCTAGCTTCTTATAGGGATTTGAGACAGCTGTTGCTGCTGGTGCAAAGGAAGTTGCCATATTTGCCTCAGCTTCTGAATCTTTCTCAAAATCAAATATAAATTGCAGTATTGAAGATAGTCTCGTTCGATATAGTGATGTTTCTATTGCTGCCAGAAAGCTTTCAATTCCTGTTCGTGGGTATATATTCTAACTCCTTTGGTAGTTGGGGGAAAGGGGTTTGGGTTCTTCTCACTCCCACTGGAACTAAGTTACTTTCTTTTTAATAATATTTTTATATGAACCTATTTAATTTCTATTATCTTTTGGTATGCTTATATTAAATTAATAATAAACAGTTTCAAATATGAATGGGGTAGTCTTTAAATTCTTTTTCTTTCAAGTATCATTTTAAGGGACTATTTGAAGAAGAGATTTTCTAGTATTAAGAAGCAGACTATTTCATTTATTTATTTATTTTTCTCCGGGGACCACTTGTTCGCACAATTACTTGTGATTCTTAGAGTTGGCCAATGACGATTTTTATCTCTAACCCCTTCAGTCATTCTCACCTACATTGCATTGTTATCTTAATGATGCGGGGGAAGAGACTAGAATGAGTGAAGTAGATTTGTTCTTTTCCTAATTTCTTTTTTATTATACTTGTTTCGTTTCTATTTAAGTTTGATAGTTTGGTTGAATTGTTTGTTTAACGGTTGAATGACAATTATATATGTTTAACTAATATTATTCTTATAATTTAAAAAAAGGTCTCATCCGCTTTTATGTTTTAAAATTAGGCCAAAAGTAATTATACATAGAACAACACTGTTTAGACATAGCACGTTGAATATGGTTACCGCATTTCCAATTAAGAAAAATAGAACATAGAATTGTGGCCAAAACGAAATTTCCTAATTTTGTTTAGTTAGTGCTCCACTTGTATATACATGATTGAGATACCTTAAACCGTAAGGTTAACCATGTATTTTGTGTGTAAACTTCTATGGGTTCTTTTCCCTCTCCAGGTACTGTCATTCCAATGCTTGAAGCTGTTATTGATGTGGTCCCAAGTGAGAAGCTTGCTGTCCAATTTTCACGACACTTATGGGCAAGCTCTTTCAAACATACTAGCGTCACTCCAGGTAATCCAGATTGCTTTTGAATTTAGCAGGAAATTAAATAATATGTAGGTAGTTGTAATTTTTAATATGATTTGAGCAGACAAAATTAAAGTGTTAGTCTTCAGGCTAATTGTGTTTGTCTTGAAATTTTTGACCCCGATTAACCATATCAATAAACAGTTCTTGTTTGAAAGGTTTTCAGAATTCATGCAGGAAACTGCAAAGACTTAATTAATAGGTGTAGCAAAGTGTATTCCTTAATAATAGATATTGAAAACGTAAAAGGCAAGTACGACAAAGTACATTTGGCACTTATTAAGGAACAAGGAGGGTACTTAATACGCCCTTGCCAACTCAATGGTCTGAGAGGACTAGTTTGGAGCGCTAGCAGTTCTTGTGGCTACATAGTTGCTAAAATGAAGTGATAACAAGCTCAATGAAGTTGGTACGGGCATGCAATATTGGATTGGAAGTCATCTACGTAGTCCTGAGCTTCTCACAGTAGAGCATGATGAACATCAAAATAAGCAAATGGAGCTCGTGAAGGTGCGTAATCCAAAATATAAACTCAAACTTGAGAAAGTAAACAATATTTGGACTTTGAACTCAAACGAAAGATGATAGATTTATCGGCACTTCAACACATTAAGTTGGTTCCCAAGGAAAAAATGAACAATTATAAATCACCAAACTGATTCCCATTCTTGTGACTACATGATTCTGTGGACTATACTTTTAGAATTCCAACGAATCTTAATGTTTAGGATAATAGAATTGCATGCAATAAAAAGGGTAATATAATTGCAATGACATTTATTGTATTGGCAGATAGGAATCAGCACAGTGGATTCTTCAGTATCAGGTCTTGGGGGTTGTCCGTATGTAAGGGAGCTTCCGGAAATGTTGCCATGAAAGATGTTGTGTACATGCTTAATGGACTTGGAGTGAAGACCAATGTAGATCTTAAAAAGCTCATGTTGGCTGGGGACTAGGGGTGGGCACGGTGCGGTTCGGTGCGGTTCGGTGCGGTTTCACCCCTAAATTGGAACCGAAATCGAAATATATTAACGGTTCGATTTGGTGCAGTTCCACTTAAATTTATTACTAGAACATTATGGTTCGGTCTACACCGGTTCCGATTCGGTTCTTGCCGGTTTACGATTCCTAATAATAAATTATTTGAACACCAAATCATTATGCATTCAAATACATCTTCTAAAACTGATTACATAAAGTTGCATACAACACATCTTTTTTAATGCAAATGTCTTTGTTAGTGGCACCAAGTCAACAAAAAGAGACAACTAAAATACATATGCACTGGTCAATCAGTCAACAAACAAAAAAATGATAAAGCAAATTGCAGGTTTTCAGACTTCAGAGAGCAAGCAAGAAGCAGCAGCTCCTGTACACAATTTTTCAACCTATTTTTCAACCTATTATACCATGACATATGTGTGTATATATAATTTATTTATTTATTATTAATAAAACGGCTCGGTTTTGTTCGGCCGGTTCTTGGTCATTCGAAACCGGAACCGGAACTGGTTTGAACGGTTCGGTTCGGTTTTTCACTCAAAGTTGACTTTTCCAGTCAACACGTTTTTTTTTTTACGGTTCGATGCGGTTTTGCGGTTTAACGGTTTTTATGCCCACCCCTACTGGGGACTATATCAGTAAGCACTTGGGTCGCTCATCTGGTTCAAAGACGGCAGTTGCCTTAAGTAAAGTCGCAGCTGCTGCCTCAAAGCTATGAGGTACCACCACTATTGTGCAAGTCTTATGTGTTTCGCCCCAAATTTACTTGATACCTGAAATAAAGGAGGAGGAGCAGGAGGAGGAGGGGGGGGGGGGGGGGGGGGGGGAGGTCACTTTTAGTTGTTTTGGTCATGCGGTCACTTTTAGTTGTTTTGGTCATGTGCGATGTATCGATACGAGTACATTTGGGCAATTGAAATGTGAGGTGAATCAAATTAGAGAATTGAAGTGGACTAGATGGGGACTTGGGGCCTCTTTGGTGGCTTGGTTGGGATAAATTGTGACCAATTAAAATGGACTGGAGTCTAGTCCGTTGTTTGTTGGGTTAAAATGTGAGATGGACATGACTGGGCATGATGGGTTATAAATCTAAAATAGAGTGGGTTACCAAACCTATCCATATACATATAAGTGAATTACAAGTTCTGTCTTACAAGTCCTTGCTATCTCTTAAGGCTCAATCTCATCTAGCCCACCTAACGGGCCCTTGAGGACTCCCACTGGTTGTTTTTAAGTGATTTTCACACTATTTTTTCGCTTATGTACATTCATATTCACTATTTATATTTGGCATTTGGATTGTTAAGTCAAAGAGGAATGGAGAGAGAAAAATAAACAAGGGTTTGCAAATTGAAACAATATCTATTACTTTGAATTAACACTGAAAAGATTACACTTGAACTCCAGGAACTCAACAATATCAATGTTTGAGTCGATACAAGCCCACAATTGAGATCATAGAGAAATTTTATTTGAACTCAATAATTTTATTTCTACATTATTATTTTTTAAAGAATTTATATTCCAATTTGCTCTAAAGAAAAAATGGGTGTTGAGATAAAATTATTGAAATTACCAACCAGCGAATGGATGGGTCGTCGGAATAGGTGGATGGGGATTGTGCCTTGGACGACGTCGGGAGGAGTATCCAGAGTTGGATTGGGTTTGACGTAAAATATAGAGGGGTTATATGATGTTGCTGTTGAAAGCAGCGTCCACCCCTCCTCGTTGACCGCCGTCGAGTTGCAGGTCATGAACTTTGTCCTTCTCGATTTTTGATCGTTTGTTGTAACCATTAAGGATGATAGAAAGGCAGTTTTGTATACGGTGCTCACTGACCTCTCTCTCCCCCAAACAACTTTAATTTTTGATCGTTTACGTTCCTATTTTTATCAGTGAATTCTGGGTTGCCTTCTTTAAGCAGCAAAACACCACTCTTTGCAAGAGCCCAGCATATCGCCCACAATCCTATGGGCAAACAGGAGGGCCAAATCGCACCCTGGAACACTACTTGCGCAGCTTTGTGATGGACAAACTGCGTGACTAGATTCAGTGGCTGCCTTGGGCAAAGTGGTTGTACAATACCACCTTCCAGTCTACCATTCAACTGACACCTTTCCAGGCAGTTTATGGTTGCCTTCCTCCCACAGTGTCGATGTATCTTCCAGGTTCCTCCCTGGTTCATCTCGTAGATGTCACTCTTTGGGATGGCGATGCCTTGCTCAAGCATTTACGTGAGCACTGGCACAACACAGAATTCACCAACAAGCTGACAAACATCGGTCTGAAAGGACTTTTCTAATTGGGGATAGGGTTTTCCTCAAGCTTCAACTATATCGCAAACTTCAATGTCCAAAACTGGCCCCTCGCTACCACGGTCCCTTCCAAGTCCTGGCTCTGTTGGGCAGGTTGCTTACACATTGGAGCTTCCTCCTCAGTCCTGCATTCATCCTACCTTTCACGTGTCTTTGCTCAAACCCAAGATTGCTACTCATACTGTGTCATCTCCAACTCTGCCTCCAATATCCTCTGATGGTACCTTCATATGGTCCCTTGAACAGTGGGGTATGATCAAAGCGTGCCAGTCGCACGGTCACTCGTTGGTTAATCAAATGGGAAGGACTTCCCAAAGCATGACGCGACATGGAAGGATGCAAATTCTATATCGGCCTGCCTTCCTGAGTTTCCCGCCTGATGACAGGCTCGTTGTAGGAGAGGGGGTGGGGTTAGGGGGAGTGGTGGGGATTGGGGGTGAGGGGGTGCCCTGATAGGACCTTAATGTAACTCATAGATATTAGGGGGAGTGGTGGGGATTGGGGGTGAGGGGGTGCCCTGATAGGACCTTAATGTAACTCATAGATATTTCCTTATCCTGTTGTAATTGGAGTAGTTGTTACATGGTGACTCAGCACTAGGGTTACTAAGTCCTTTGTCTGACTTGGCTTATATGGGTATATATAACCCCTTTGTTTTTCCTTTGTGGTTATGAACTGAATTAATCCTTTAGTTTTCCTTTGTCTTTTATCCTACCGTTCTTCCTCTGTGAGGCTGGTACCCTAACAAGGTCTAACAAACCCAAATCCTAATAAGATTGACTAGAATGAGAACGAAAACGAAAGCCTAATCAAGACCCAGCTAAGCCAACAAGTTGACAATTTTCACGAACCGAAACTAGGTAGATCAACAAATTGATATCAAACCATAGCAGATTAAACCCTAAATGATCAAACTTGTTCTAATACTAAGTTGAAAATCCAAGTACACGATGAACAAATGAAATATAAAACTTAAGTAATTAAAGCAAAAGAGAAGACTACAAATTGCTGAGACGGTTACATAATCTGTAAAGACTACATTTTGACTAACTTAATTTCTACTGAATAACAAAGCTCTTTATTTATGATAAACTAAATCCTAATTCCTAATAAGCAAGGAAATAAAAATTTAATTCTAATAGGCTAAGCCCAAATCCAAACATTAAATAAATAACTATTTTCCAACAAATAATGCAGAGGTGAATAGATTGAAAACTGCATGGGGCCTGCCCCTTAGTCATTGTAGACAATGAAATTAAGATTGACAGATGGCCTTGGACAAACTCGACCCGAGTCTAACTATGTTATCATCAACATCTCTCATCAGAATATGGCCTAAGATAATGTTAGAGATATCAAAATTTTAAACTAAAATTTTAAACGAAATTTACAAACTAAATAATGTGTCAGTAATGGAAAATAAGCACATTAATCAATATTTAAGCAATAATCTAGTCATAAAAAATCATATTATTTAGTTTACAAAATTTGATTCCCATAGCATTAACTATAAATTAAAATAGCTGCACACTGATTATAGAGACATACTTGGTCTCATCGCACACTGATTTTGTGCTATGATTGGGTCTGTTTGTTGGACAAGGATTGTCTACTCTCCCACTTTCCGTACCCTCGTGTTTTGTGTGGTCACGGTTAAACCATATCAACATTTTATATTATTTTTTTTATAGAGATAATAAGACAAAAATGAATAGTAATATAAAATGTTGACGTGGCTTAATCATGACCACACAAATAGAAGAGCACGGGAGGGCACGGGAGGGCACCGAAAGTGGAAAGGCAGACAATCCATGTCCCTATTTGTTTTATAACATACTATGTACTGTAAAAACTATATTAAAATGATGTTTAGTCATTCAACTGTACCAAATAGGTAGACACATCGTAATATTTTTATTGATCTTGACCATTTGTTTTTATGTAGTTTGATAACTAAACGATATCATATTTAATGATTTTTTGCAAAATTCTTTACATAGTAATTTTATAATATGAACGATTCTGACCACAAACTATTATGTGTAGGAATTTCCCCTTGAATTTTTAGAGTGAAGTATTTCTCCTGATTATATTTGAATCACACAAGGTAGTAACCCTTTTTCATGGGAGATTCCAGTAACATTTTCATTTTTTTCATTACGCCCGATAGTTAAATTAATATCGTTTTGGATAAAAGAAATAAACTTAGAATTTATGATAAAAAGAGGTAAATTACACAAAAATACCTCAATTACGGAGCGAAATACAATTACATTCCTTATGTTTTAAACATTGCAATATCATTCCTCATATTCTGAATTCGTTGCAATGTCAGACATCTATTAAATTATTTATCAATTTCCTATTAAATAATGACGTGGCAAGAGCGAGACCCACTCATTCGCTAATTGGAATAAAAAAATATTAATAACTAATAGATTATTAATTTTTTATTTAAAAATAAAATTAATTAAAAAAAAAAAAAAATTCTTCTTCCTCTCTCCATAGCATCGCATTCACCTTTCGGTGTTGTTAATCGGATTATATACCTTGATTCGTCCGCTTTGCCTAGCATAATCTCCAATCGTTTCGAAGTAGCATCGTACTCGATCCAGCATTTCAACTTTTCTCCACTACTGAGCGTCAAATTCAATTTAGAAACATTACCAACAACTAGAGATACAAAGCTACCAAAGTCTACCCCTATGTGATTAGCATTCAAATCATTCATATCTCCATTCATTTGAGTATCAAATTAAATACCCAGAAACCGATCCTCACCATTAATCCCAAATGAGCCCTTACCCAACAATCTGGACCCCAAATCT